CTGTAGAAGAAATCACCATGGAAACGAGAAAGTTAGAGAAAAAAAACCTGTTATTTTCTCGCATGCATACGGTCATTGATAATGGAACGTAATTGCAAAAACTTTCGCAAATTAAAGACACTAAGATAATTTCAATATGCGAACGTTGCAATGAAGCATTACGTAATTGGAGCATGCTTTCTATGGGAGAAAGAATAGGGTATTAAAATTGCCTCCGAACTGATTTCTCGAAAGTTTTGAGATCGTGGTATGACTATACCTGTGGGTATCGTTAGATCGAAAGACAACTGAACAAATAGATAAAGAGATAGTTTAATGTAGGGCCAGACTCCTTGCATACAATGTGCGTCTGCACAATTAAACAATACTTCACAATAATCCCACAGTATGCACTTAATAATAAACATAATCTATTTTGTTTATCCAGGGAAGCCTCATTAGTATCAATACTGATCTTCCTGAAGGGCCTGCAATCATTAATACCCCAGTAATTGCCAGGTACCCATTTATACCTGGATGGAGAGTGCTAAATGTTGTTAAATGTCTATAGCCAAAGGACATTTAACTTAGTGTTAAGTCGGGATTCGAGCCCTCGACCCTTGGATCGAGAGTCAATCGAATGAACCACTATACCACCATGACCACGGCACCTCTTAATTATGTCCAAGTTTTTTCAATGATAACCTTGTTTCATGAGGGACTTCCTGGAATAGTCAGACGGGGAATGATCCTCGATTAGGGTTTTTAATTTCCTCATTCTGATACTGAATACCCCCACTTTTGCAAGGGAGTATATAAAGGCATCGTTTAACAATGTTAAATCTGAGATGCATGGCCCTATGTGTTATCATTGTCTGTGATATGGTGTAATATCGAAGCCCTAATAATATTGCGCTTCAAAATGATCATGAAGTGCCTCAAAAAAAGTTTTTAAAATCGTTAGGAAAACGAAAAAATGAAATTTCGATTTTCAATCGTAAATATCTTGATAATGCAGACAGGCGATCGGCTTGTAAAAGTCATGGGATTCCTGACTGACCTAAAGGTTTATAATTATGATTGCAGCATGAGCTAAAGCTAGGATTTTGTTTCAGAATCTGAGGCAATTTTACCGAGTCACTCTAAAAGTCCCAGAATCAAGACATAAGTCTAGATTTTTGTTATGCTCAATGTTCAGTTACTTTGTTTCTGTGGGATCATTTGAAAGTGGGAAGAAAACACATTCACGTCCAAGCTCAAGTACATTGAAACCTCTTTAGTCCTAAACTGTACATTACAATTTTCATTATCTATGTTGTCAAGTCTAGCGGTTAAAACTGCAGCGATGTATCTGCATGTTCTTTCTGTTTCTATCACGTCCCTTTTCCTCGTGACGCGATGCATCAATCAATTTTGTCATTTATGTTTCTTAAAGAAACAACCCTTAATATTAAATGTACTGATTTTAATATGAAACACTGGAAATAATATATTATGTTCATTTAGGCAGAACAGCTAAAGGAAAAATATCTACCAACTCTTTCCACTCGGAGAACAACAAATTGCACAGCAAAACCGTTTAGCTATACCCACATCGATTTTCAAGCGTGCCGCACCCCCCCCCCCCCTCCGGCAGACACTCTTGGATACGCCATTGAGTTCGATTCTACAATACGATCCATCTTCGAGTTAGACTGTAGAGGGTTTACATTTCTTATAAGAATCATGCTTTGCAGATCACATGACATGAAATGAAAGAAATCTAGTTTGAACCGGTACTCAATATTTATTTAAAGACACAAAGTAGAGATCCATGGTGATGTGATTGTATTGCGAGAGAAACTGTGTGGAACCAATTGAAATTGGATTGGTATGTAGCAATTAAAATTGTTGAATACTATAAGGTTTTGGAATCATCAAGACGATCAGAATTTGATTCAATTTTTCTGGAGATTACATGAACTACACACGGAAATGGGACTACAACGAGAATGTGGCATGAAACGATTAGTCCAAACACTTTTTCTTGCCATACTTCGAATGTGAGGGCATGTAAAGAGCAATCATTTTTAGGAGACATTTTTCATCGCGATATTCTTCCACACTAAATGTAAAAGGACATGAGAAAGCACACATGTGTCTCTTTCTCAACTTTCCAGAACTCAACCTTCTCTTTAATTGTATCGAATTTTCTGCGATCCCACGTACTCCATCATATTTCTCAAGAGGGAAATCCGGGGCAGACGGATGTGCCAAGGAATAGGGAAAAACAGGAAAATGTAACACTTTCACTGATATAGATAATGTGGTGGTAGCGGTGAGTATTATAAAGGGAGGGGAAGGGGTGGATGGTGGAATCGGTGGGGGTGGGGGGGGGGGGTGCTGTGAACACGACAACGTACATGCGGAAAGAGGGTAAGAGAGAAAAGGAGAAGGAGAAGGCTACGAAATAGAAGTACATTGAAGTACATTGAAGTACTAAATCTCGTGATCGAATTCTCCTTGACTATAAAAAACATAATGATGTTAGCTTCTACAAAAATATGGAAACATTGATAGGAAATATCGAACTTCGGTCTTGGGGGTCGGGATGGGAGCCCCGGTCTTTCGAAGTCTTGCAAATGTTAAGAAACAGTGTCATTGAGTGAGGGTGTGTGATAAGGGTTTTGTAACGTTCATACCATCTTCTATTTCGTTGCCTTCTCTTTCCTCTATCTATCTAATTTTCTATATTTTTTCTCGCGCTGTTTTTGCGAAAGGCCCCATGCCCCCGTACTCGATCCAGGAGCTACGCCACTGAAACACAGCAAACATTTAACGAATGGCTCGTGTTGATGCTATCAGACTTTGGAGCATGCATAACTTAATGAACCAAATTAGATTCATGGAGTTATTCCAACAAAAACAAACGCCTTTTAAAGCTCAAAGTATCGTAACATGAGCTCAATAATCATAAATTTATGAATCATGTCTCAACATGCAGATGTCTTATAACTGCATTGTAAGCAGTTTCAAGAAAACTGATATAATATTATTATTAAACCAGAGTTTTACATTTCGCTATCAAATCCTCTCAATAGATACACGGGCACAGCAACGTGACTGACATGGAACATGGGGGTGTGTCCCTCACATGACGAAACAATAGGAGAGTGGGAAAGAGAGACTGTGCGAGAGAGGGGAAAGGAAGGAGGCAAAGGAGCAGAAGATAATAATTATTAGTCCATACACACCTCCACTCACTAAACAATATTGTTTTCTCGCATCGTATTCATCTATAAAAAAAAAATCCGGACCCTCCAAATGACAACAGCCCCCCCCCCCCCCCCCCATGGCGGGATCCTTGCTACGCTACAGAACAGATAGAACTATAAAATGACTTTTGAGACAATGAAGTGTATGATTCTTTCAATCATTATCAACCAACACTTGTCTTTAAGGAAATACGAAACCACGCTTTTTGCGGAATAATTCCATAATCTCACGACAGGCTTGTAACGTCTGATTTTTCTTATCATTTCCTTGTACTACATTATTACGTGGTCAAATGTATACAGAGAGGATTGCTGTACTGTTGTACCCAGATAAGCGAGAACAATACTCGAATTTATAATCGAATAGCATAGCCGTTTCTTGTTAACAAGAAAAGAAGTTCCTCATTATATAGACCTTGGTACCACGCACCTTTGATAAGTCCAGGAACTTAGGAAGAGTGGTCCACAGAAAAATATCAACCAACTCTACCCTTGTCGTCGAGCATAATCGCAATATTGTTCGGTTATTGGCGGTGGGGATTTCAAATTTTCGTATCCTTCTTCTTCTTCTTCTTCTCCCCCACTTCTTCTTCTTCTTCTTCTTCTTCTTCTTCTCTCTCTCTCTCTCTCTCTCTCTCTCTCTCTCTCTCTCTCTCCCTTGTTTTCTTGTTGGGGATTTTCTACCTAATTTGTAGTAAAAAAAAATTGTTCCCCGGCTCTTATTCAAAGTGAACTTACCACGCCCCCAAACACTGGGCACTAGCTACCTCAGAAAAAAGAAGTCAATATTGTCAATACCCCCGTGACCTTGTAACTTCTCATATCAAACGACGGAAAGTAAGAGTCAAGTAACGGTATTTATTACAAGTAAATATGAAATGATTTATATTGGCATCTGGCGCGGGTTTGGATGATGGCAATAGGGATATATAATGTCATGTCTGCGTGCCGCGCTATATATAGAGCCAATAATATTGAATCAAGCCGCTTATTCGATCTCTCTCCCTGCCCCCTCTCTCTCACTCTCTCTCTTTCCCTTCCCCTCTCTTTCTTTATTCTTATCCCTCCCCTCATATCTCCTCTCTCTCTCTCTCTCTCTCTCTCTCTCTCTCTCTCGCTCCATCTCTGTGCATTGTTATGCTCCTCTATCACATTCTCCTATGTATTTTAATCAGATAAAAAGTATAAGAACTGTATTTCACAAATCAACTTTCCAGTTACAATAAATGTGCAAAGCCTTTTACATATTATTACCCCCTATATTATCTCAAATATGTCAAAGGTCAAGTATGTAGGGTTTGCCATATATACCAGATACAAATTTACACCTGGGTCAGCGTGGAAGGGAAGTGTTAATACTTTTCCAGGGGACGAAAGTTCCAGGTGGGGATTCGAACCCTCAACCTTTCGATTGACAGTCAAGTGATCATACTATATCAGAAATTTTGTGTACGGGCGAAATATCTTAGACATTTCCATGTACATTTATTTCTTCTTTTTACATTTTACAATCGTAGCCATATAAATTTAGTTAATCATTACTATTATTATAGTTGTTTATCATAATTACAATATCGTTCACCTTTGACCCACAGGGTATTGAAACTATACGTTTATGTAGCGGAATGCCTGGATCATTTGTGAAAGTGATACACATGCATTTTCCCAATCAGTCTTCATCATTCTGAAATGGGCTATCCAACCGTTTGTCTATACTTTACACATTTACTTATCATTTGAAATGTGTTTTACATGTATGTTTTTTAA